GATATTCCTGTGAGTGACTTCTTTGAGGTGTTCCCCAAATGACCCAAAGAATGACTTCAGCATAGGAGGGTTAATATACGTTGGGTAAGGGCAAAACCTGTTATGTATAATTAACTTCTCCCCAACCCCCCAAAAAAATATATCTTGAAAAAAAATACATCTTGAAGATATGGAGAGGTCAAAAAAGCCTAGCTTATTGTTGCATTGCACATGCATGTGATGTAGATTGCCTCTTGAACACGTTGAAAGATAAAAAAGGTTCCTCAAGGTTCATCCACTGCAGAGGCTAATAGGGAAGGTTTCTTCCAAGAATGGGTTGTGAGTTGCGGGACACATGTGTATCTCTCTTTACCAGGCATTGTTGGTAAAAATTATCAAAACATAAAAACAAAAAGGAAATAAGGATTTTACGATTCCTGAATGTCAGGGCCATTGTTGAGTTCAGGACAAGTCTAAGCACACCCATCAGAAAGCCATCCAATCTTCCAGTCACAAGGAATGCAGTTGAAAGCATCCCTTTATTAATCCTGGTTCTTGTGATGGTCTTCTTACTGGATCCATGTAAAGACATGACTAGCCTCATGATGATGAAAAGGAGAATCTTAGCAATCGTTAATAAAGTCAAGATCGAGTTCTTGGGACACAAATGTGTTCCCAGAGGAGTCTGGTCCCCACAAGGTCTATTCCAACATTTGTGCAGTCCACACAAATAGGAAACAAGTGCGCCTGAGGATGTAAAATAGAGAGTACCAAAGAGCACAGCATACCTGCTTCAGTCGGTCAGCCGTCCTTGTGCAGTTGGAAAAATTTCAAGGAAACCAAAACATACACCCAGAAATTATGTACGTACGTGTATCTTTGTATTGTTTAGTGGGAAAGGTCCTTACTACTCATTTCATCTTTGAAGAAAAATTGACTGGCATGGCATTAAGAACTTTTTTGGAGAATGTTGGAGACTTATCAATGTGACAAGTAACTAAATGGTACAGTCCTCAAAACTCTCAACCTTATTGCATTGAGTTGTTTAATAATGACGTAATCTCTTCAAGACAATCAATATCCTCTAATCCAATTGGAGAAATGCCCTAAAACAACAGCAAATTTGAAAACCTACATAAAACTTAGTGTGAGACTTGTGCATGAAACATTGATCATTTCAGTATGATGGAATATGCATGACAATGGTTTATTTGTTTATTTTATTATTAGTTTGATATTTGCTAAGATCCAATATGTGTAAATATGTACTTTTCAAACTTCACCACTTCACCATGTTCATGGATTACAGGTATCCATAATTACAGTCATCAACATCTCGATGAGGCTGTCGCATTTCTGGCACGTACGGCCAACAAGTACCCTTACGAGCAGCTGGTAGGGCCTGCATTCTCCCTGAACCAGTTTGAGTCTGCCGTACAAGAGTCCATTCAGGGGCGTTTCTGGAGAGTTGCCCTGGATCCAACATTCACAGAATAGTGAGAAATAAGGAATCAGTGAAGTACAATTTTTAGAAGCAATTCACCATCAGCCTGGACTTTGTAGTGCAGTCCATGACAAGTCCAGTCATCCCTGCACATGTTCAGTCATAAGTCCTTTCGTGAGTCCAGTCACTAGTCCAGTCAGAAGTGACTAGATGAGCAATATTTAGCTTGGCTTCAGACTGGATGACTTGTGATGGACTTGTAGCGTCTTTTGAGGACTGGCGATAGACTCAACTGTAACCTTTTTCAAAATGAGATGCATCACCATCACTTTTTCCCTGGCTCATGGGTTTAACAGTGATCCAGCAAGCAAGATCAATGCAAGTCGAAAAATAGAACAAATACTGAAGGAAGAGTTGCAAGACTCAGTTGAAGAGGCAAGCCACATGTAGAATGATTTAGAAGTATAATAAACTCTAGGTAACCGAGTCCTGTTATGTTGTTTCGTCACAGTGCAGTTTGCACTTCGATTAATTGAGCAATCTTACAATTGTTACCGAGCACTGATGTTATGCCATGAGCACCGATTATCACGAGCACCAGTTGTCTTATTCTGTAAGGAAGGTCCAATGAAGTGAGTTTTTGCTTTTGGGGAAAACCAAAATGAAATCCACGTGCAGCACCCTCACCTTCCTGGCTGATTGACAATGTCAGATTGAGATCTCTGTCAGTCTGAAATGGTGTGATTCCTTCATCCACATTGTGCATGCAATCTGAAATAAGGGTGTAGGACATCTACATAACTGCCGTTCCAAGGAACTGACTAAATAGTTTGAATAAAATCTGAATCCTGTGAACAGTTAATGCACAGTTTGAGTATGACATTTTCTGTTCATGTATCATCTCTAGAGATGGTATAGTCAATATGCATTTTTAACGTGTCATATTCTATATTTTTATCACATTGTGCACAGTTGCCTTCTGATAGATTCCATGATCTTTTATGTAAAGAAGTATAATTTGTGTAAACACTAAATGTAGTTTCTGTGTAAATATCAATGCTGTTCCAAAGATTTTACTTAACATGACCAAAGGTCTACAAAACATTTTGCAGTTTGTCCGTATTTAAAAACAAATGTTTACACAAGACAAGTTTTGTATGTCTCCTTTTTCACTTTATAGGGAAGTAACGTTTGTAGATTGGATAAGTGACAATTAATGTATTTCTTGCTTAGTTACATTACTTTTCCCCCCCTTTTTTTTTACCTTATTCTGTTTGTGCCACAGCGAGTTTTGCTAGCTGCAGAGCACTCAACGTCAATGGAATACAGATAACCACATACATGTATAAATAATGTTCAGGAGTACAGCTGGGGGAATAATTTCATACACATAATTATTTGAAACATTGTTACCTTTTATGCGAGGGTTGAAAAAGTACTGAGTGAAAGTCCTGTATTGTCCTTGCAAATCCTGATTATTTCCTATTCACCACAATTTTTACACGAAGAGCTGTGTTATAGCGTCACGGACGGGGTGAATGTGCAAATGGAGAATGCAATGTCGATTGATCCATCAACCTTTGGCATTGACCATTCCATTTCTGCAGTGTGGACGGTGTGACTTTTTTCCCCAGGCGTTGCATAATGAGAGTTTGTACTTGATGACAATTCCGCATGATGTCAACACTTTCAAGTGTTCTTTTGTGATTCACTATGCAAAATTAGTCACTGTTGATTTTATCCACACTAACTCAAGTATATTTTAGCAATTTAGAAGACAACTCGTTTTAAGAACACTGATCCACGAAGTGTATTGATAGTACTAGAATGTGATTTGCTTATAAGAAGTTGTATTCCCCTTTGTTCATACCTGTCTTGAAACACCCAGTGCATGCTGAAAGTTGAAAACTCTTGTAAGAAGAGTCAGATTATTTTTTGTCAAGTTTTGCAGAGTTGAACATGGCGATTTTTTTGAGATCTTTTACATGGTCAGGAATAGCAAATGATTTTTAACACTTTGCTTGAAATTTGATTTTATGTTTTAAACGGTATGGTCCTTTCCTTACCTTTGTTTTCATAGTATTGTGTAATTGTTCGTGTTGCATGTACCAGACATGAGCAGGCATTTTAAATGGGAAACTTTATGTGTATTTTCCCCCTTAATTGCGAAGGGTGAACAACAGAAAACGGAAAAGATTATTTTGATAGAAGAGTACTTTTGTCTATAATTTAAAATGGATTATTGTGAAATTTTGCAGTTACTTTGATATCTCCTGACCTTTTTTCGCATCGTTACACGTAGTTTATATGTATTTGTCATTGGGGGAAAAAACAGATTTTTCCCTTCGTTGTTAACACGTTTAAATTAATGTGCAATAAAGTAACAACTCGAGCTTTCCACAGTTTGTCACACAATTGAGAAATATTGATGTTAGTGTCTGAATAAACAACTTCCACATTACATGTTGAATCGAATCTGATTTTAGGACTTCAAACAGCGAAAATGTACTCAAAAGCACGCAGAAGGGTGGACAATTAAAAAAGCCATAAATATGCAGTTCTGATGTAAGATTCTGCAGAAATGAAATACATAATATTAAGGATGTACATCTGTATCATGGACATCTATATTGTGTCAGCACCCCCCCCCACGAATCCCCCATCTCCCCAATTTTCGCCACAAATTTACGCCACTGGTTTCCACAGCCATACATTTGAAGCAAGATGTGGGACGGAGAGAACCTGACCCCCTTTATTGGTCATTGTTTGGCCGGAATTGCAGGAATTCTTTTCAGACATGGTAGGGGGGAGGACGTGTTAGGTAACAATAGTCTAGAGTGTCTGTAGGGTTTGAACATTCAGGGGGTGGAGTACCCCTCCCTCCCATATCAAGCAGGGTTTACAGTCGAGAGAGCAAGTAACACTTTCACTGATACGAGCATAAAACATGATAAGCAAATGGAAGTTTTAATTAAGCAGAACACTTGATATAGTGATTCTCACTAATTCTTTAAAATGAACACACCCGTGTAATATCAGTGGAGAAGAATTTATCTTTAACATTTAATAAGCATTTTCTAACCTTGTAATTGACAATTATTTGATTCTTCATTGAAGCCCTACATGAAATCAAAAGTAGGCCTACATCGGACTTCAAAAACTCTCATTTTTCAGCGAGTAGGCCTATGGCATTTTCCTGTTGTCTCTCCGATTTTGTCGTCTAAATGGTGGACCTATAGGGGCAAGAGGAATTGAGGTTTCATTCCAGGTCTATACCAGGGTTTGAGTCAGTGGCGGGGGCAAAAATGAAGATCTTTCTTTGTTTTCCCGAATTAAATGCCTGCATTTCTCTGGTCCCACAGGCTCTCCTTATACTGTTGCTTAAATGTTGGCAATTTCAATTCAATTCAAAATAGAGGCTTATTGGCGTATACCAGGCAAGATATGGGATGGTACCCCCCTTACCTGTCCAATCGCTATACGCACTGTAGACTATTGTTGCCCAACACATCCCCCCAAGAAATCTGTAAAGAATTCCTGAGATTCCGATCAAACAATGACCAACACAAAGGCGGGGGGGTTCTCTCCGTCCCATAGCTTGCTTCAAATGTATTGGCGCCAAACTGCTCAGTCCGTTATTTGCGTTATTTGAACATGTCTAGATCATGTTTGTAGACTGCTCTACGTGGCCATGTGGAGGACCGAGCCCTTGGCGGAGGAGGGCCATCTGCTGGACACGCAGTCAAGGCAGTGGCGTAACTGGGGTTAAATTTCTGGGGGAGGGGGCACTCGGGGTGCGCACCTTTTTTATCAAAGGGGCAGCTGCAGCTGCATTATAACGGACATTATTCAAACAAATCGGGGGAGGGGGCGTATCACCCCTTCCCCGGTAAGCCACTACTATTTCATTCACTTACTTCTTTGTAGACATAAAGCGGAAATGCTACAGGAAAAAAAAGACTACAGCTAGTTTAACTCTGCCTCGGGAATCCTGCTCCCATCATGTGAGTATAATCTTCTTCAGTGTTGCATAGGCCTACATACTTGTGTGGTCAGGCTTGAGGCGAGTCTAACATTTGTCCTGCCATTTTACCATTGTAATCATCCTCCGACTATAGTCCTGTAATCTATCAAAACTTATTTTTTTGAAATATTTAATCATATTGCACTGAGGATCGTGGTTTATTTAATGTTAATTTTTACATCTGTAACTGTGTAATCTACGTGTAGTTTTGGGACGGTTCTGTGAGGAAATTGTGGATCCAGACAAGTAGGCTTAAAGTCTTAAACGTCGCACTTCGCCGTGCTGGCGTACTAATCTCCTCTCTTTCTCCGACTCATTCATTAGCTGGCTCCGATCGGCCTGAGTCAAAGGTACACGGACGTGAGTACAGTACACGCTCGCATTTCGTTGATTTCTGCACTGTTGCCATGTGAAAAAGTTTTGGAGCTGTGATTACCTGTCCTGTTTATTACTTCGTCAACACACCGGCTGAGTGTCATGGCAATCTGTAGTTGAAATCTGGCATTTTGAGTCAGTTTCATTGCGCAACTTTTCGAAAAAGTGTGGTGTAATGTTTTGCACGTGGTTGGTTTGTGGCTGCTGGATTTGCAGTTTGACTGCGGAGGGAGTAAATTTTGGAGGGACTTAGCACGGCCGGTGTCGATTTTGAGTAACCCACGGCATCTACCGCAGTGTGCGGTGATGTAGTAATACGGTACGTGGTATCCACCGGTAGGCCTTAAGGTAAATTACATGTACTTTTATGAAAAACTTTGTCTCTAAAAACTGTCATGATAAAAAAACAGCGATTTTATCAGTTGAAGCCAACTTAATTGTCATTTCTCAACAAAATGTCACCATCCTTTTTTCCCCCAGCTATGTTGATCTGGCATGCGCCAAGATATAGTTGAACTTTGTGTGCAGACATCTGACATCTTTTATCTGCTTGGAAGCTCTTCTAACATTATCCAAAGGTGGCCTTATAAAGGGGTTTTGCATTAGTGGCAGAACGTTGAGATATAGGGCCCCTGTCACAATCCTCGTCATGCTATTTTCATCAACCTTTGCAAATATTGAGGAGAGACTTTTGTTTGTGCTGCGACTTAAGTAGATATTGATGAGACTTGAGAGTGTCCAGGTGTGATACATGTAAAGAGGTTGGTCATGTTGTTTGTAAAATGGTTGATAACTGCATGAACATGCTCTTCGTCTTTCTTCCATCTGGAGCCTGGAAGATTCTCCTTACAGTCCATTTCTTCATGACATGTTCCTGTACCTACAGTGTAATCCAAATCTTTCACCCATCACCTTAGCATAAGGCTCTCTCATTAGGTGCCTCAATTGCCAGAGTTCATCGGATAAGAGGTGGTTGTTTCCTGCTAAGACCAATGATTCCACCACAGCGTTTTGACTCTAAGTTGATGATGTTTTGCTCATCCATATCATAGATGGGATACAGGGATACATGTACGTGATATACAAGGATACTAACCCTAACAGTCCTCAATCCTTCACCTGTTTGAGGACTGAGGACTGTTAGGGTGAATGAAAACCTAATTTCTACAATACAATATATGCTGTATTTTACTTGACTACTGTGCATTGCATGATTCACCATTGTGCAGATCTTAGACTTTTTTCCATGGATGGGAACTGTACATGTACCGGTACTTCACCGCTGCATGTCTATATACTTTTAAAGGAGAAAAATCTTTAATCAATTAAATTTTTTGACTAAACATGCTGTGAATTTTCATTTACCAGAAAACCTGAGTTCAACTTCCTGAACTCGGATGTTTTGCCAAGCCGTACCAGGATTTCAATCATTTTTCTTATTAGTTGCGTGTTACCACTACAACTCTAGAGTGGAGGGTTAGTGAGTCACAGTTTACAGTATGAGATCAGGCAGATAATTAAAAGAAATCTGAACTGGCCACCTGCAGTATCGGTAGACCAGATTGAGCAGAGAATATCACATTGTCTGCAATGAAGATAAACAATGAAATCCTGCCTTTAGAGGGGCCCAGATTCTTAAAAAACAAATTTGCCTCATTAATGGGATTTTTTATTACCCAAAACAAGGACCTAAAAACTACAGTTGCATCAACTTGGACGCTCCGTAGCTTGGAAGATATGTTTTACTTCCATTAATAGAAGTTATTGGTGGAAGTTTAAATGGATACGCTCATAGACAAGTTTTTTCCACAATCATTATTTGAACCAAAAAAAGGGTATATTTAATAATAATGCTTCCAAATAAACTTTGTTAAAGTTTAAACCTTTCTCATGAATGTTTCTTTAATATATACCATCTACATGTATCTACTATGTGCTCTTGTATTTAGTCGAAAAGCAGGCAGGTTTCTGAAAAATAAAGATTCGCCCTCAAGTTGCTTTCAGGGATACTGTTTTGAGGAAAATGTACATGTACATCTCATATCAATAATGGCTACAGTTGCTGTGTATTCTGTGATTTTAAAATGGCCAAAGCAAATTTGCGGAGCCTCAGTATGGTCATAAATTGTTCCATTGATGAAGTACATGTATGTCCAACAAATAGCAAACAACAACAATCTTAGAAATCAATTTTTTTTTACAAAAGTGAGGGGTTTGACCAAACTATAGCTTCAAAACATAGGTCTAATTGTGCAGCTCCATATTATGCCTTTATTGAAACGTACATGTAGACATATTAAGTTTTCAAATGGATTACATAATGTTGGTGTGTGCAGGGTGGGTGCCTAAACTCCTAATATAAGTTTTTTTTGAGGATTGGGGCTCTGCTATTGAGTATGTCAAGATTCAAAATGTAATCTGATGTTATTTGATGTGTTTCATGCTTGCAGGTGAGATTTGCTGACAGAAAAAGCATTCATTAACTTACAGTGTTATGGTGCATCTGCTGCTGCTGCTAGTGCTGCTTGCTACTGTTCTTGCAGCAGTTTTATATCAGTTGCCTCCAAGTCCTCCTGCAGAGTATATATCTACATGGGTGGTGAGTCCTCCTATCTGATGTTGTACCATAGGTGACCCTTTACCAACAAATCATCACCGTTTTCTCCAAGAGAAAGGTTGCTCGTTTATTGAATTGCATATCCATGGTACCTGGTGTTCTGTTGAGTTGACATGTTACATGAAAGAACAGATCTTAAATAACCCCCCAAATATACAAAGAAATTAAATTAAAATTGTGTAATAAGTCTACAAACATTTTTGTCTGTTCGTGAAAATGCCAAAACCCATTTAGCACCTGTTTTGCGGTTCCCACAGAGACTTTCAACTCTTCATGAATGGTGCTCTCAACAGGCGTAGTGGTAGTTGTTGGGAAATTCAACTTTGCCTTTGTGAAACGATACGCTATAGGATGGTGATTTTTCCTACTTTTGTATAAATAACATCTGTGCACAACTCAACAAGATGACCCAGACATAAAATCTAAACCATTCTAGAAAGATGGTGGGGGAGGAATAATCTTTCAATGCATCATAGCCTGAACTCTGAAAAGAGTCAATATCAGCTCTATACGAGAGATTTACATTCCCATCATGGGAAAGTCCAATCTATCTGTGCAATACTTCATTCGCTTTCCTAGCTTTTTACGACCAGCGATTGCATTATTTTACGTATCACCTAAAACATTCATGAGTAAAATTTAAGAAGAATAATAGACCACTGCAGTCTCCGACCTAGCAGGATCTCTGATTATGAAAGAAAAGATTCTAGTTAAATAGCAAAGTGATTAGAACACTTGAAGTAACAATTAAGCAACTGATAGGTATGTGAACAATGGAAACTAATGCTCATTTCATTTCATAAGAATCCATTTCCAACATTTCAACAAAGACGCTAACATGGACATGTTTTTTCATTAAATTTCAGATTATTAATAATAAATAAAAAAATAAATGGGCATAATATGAATTCACATGTTAAGCCGTTTAATAATTAAAATCAAGTCCATTGCTTGATTTCACTTTATTATTTGAGCATTCTTTATCAGTTACATGTACTTCACATAGATGAGAACTTGATCATTTTCCCAAAACAATTTACTGGTTTTCTTCTCAGGATATAATTATAAGGATTTTCAAGGAAACTACATGTATATTTGAAAAAAATTCAGTGATGGCAGTGGAATAGTGGGGAATTTGAAGAAATCATTCACAAAAATTTAAGATAGCCATAAAGAATTAGTTTAAAATTGAACAAATGTAACAGTAAATAGTTATTCGAAACTTCAGTTATAGTGCTAGTGCAAAATAATTGAAAAATCACATTACAGGGTTTTAACCATACTTTTTTGGCTTATTAAAGTACCATTTGTGACGACATACGTTTTATTATAGGCAATTTTATATATCCTGATAGCAAAACAAACAGCACCCCATGGCAGATTCACCTTTACAAGCATAACCCCTAGAAATACAAATTTATGTGCAGACCAGTTATCTTATCTCACCACTTCTACATATGTATCTGCCGCAGTGGGAGAGTGAGGTGAAAGAAAGAGAACAGTCATGTGTTCTTTCCTTACTTCTCAATCTGTAATAACTGTAGTGATAGAGGCAGCTACATGTACATGTACATTGTACATGTAGGTGTAAGCCAGAGACTAGTCATGTCTTCTTTCCCTACTTCTCAATCTGTAAATGCTGTTGTGGCAGCGGAAGGTGTAAGCCAGAGACCAGTCATGCATTGTTTCCTTACCCTTCCATCTGTAATTGTTGCAGTTTGAAGGTGTGAGCCGGAGACCTACATGTATCATGTCTCTTTCTCTTACATGTACCTCTGAATCTGTAACTGCTGCACTGGGAGAGAGAGGTGTAAGCAAGAGATCTCTCATGTCATCTGTCCGTATATCTCCACCTGTTACAGGTGCAATGGTAAAGGGAGGTTTAAGTCGGAGACTATAGTCATGTCTTCTTTCCTTCTCTACGTAGTATATTTGTATCTGCTGCAGTGGGAGAGAGAGAGGTGTAAGCCAATTAAAGACCAGTCATGTCTTCTTTCCTGAATACCCTGTCTGTCACTGCTTCAATAGGAGAGGGAGGGGTAAACCAAGGACCAGTTGGTCTTCTTACCCTACTTCTCTATCTGTAACCACTGTTGTGGCGAGGTGGAAGTCAGAGACAGTCATGTCATGTTTCCCTATTACTCCATCTGTAATAGCTGCAATGATAGAGGGAGGTGTAAGCTACATGTAGAGATAACACGTATCTTCTTTCCCAACTTTTGAATCTGGAACTGCTGCAATTGGAGAAGGAGGTGTTAGCCAGAGATAGACGAGTCATGTCTTCTAATCTCTCCCTGTTTCTCTGTCTGCTGCAGTGCGGGAGGGAGGTGCTAGCCAGAGACCAGTCATGTCTTCTTTTGCTACATGTACATGTACATGACTTCTCCATCTGTATAAACAGCTGCAATGGTAGGGAGAGGGTTAATCCAGAGACTGGTCATGTTTTCTTACCCTACTTCTTCATCTGTAACTGTTGTGGTTAGGGAGGAACTTGTATTAGAGACCACTCGAAGGGAATGCATTCCTGGCTTCTTTTCTAATACTTCTGAATCTGTAACTGCGGCACTGGGAGAGGGAAGAGTAAGCACCTCTTCTATAACTGTTGCAATTAGAGAGGGTGGTGTTAACCAGAGACCAGTCATGTCATTTCCCCTACTTCTACATATGCGCATGTACATGTACTGTTGGAGATTTAGGTGTAAAACCAGAGACCATGCAGTCATGTACATGTATGTCTTTGCTCTCTACTTTTCTCCACCTGTAACAGCTGTAATGATAGAGGAGGTGTAACCATAGAGTTAGATAATAATGACCTACATGTACATAGCACTAGGGCTTTTAGTCGGCCGTACTCGCTTTTGCTGCGATTTTGCAGCGAACATCTTCTCTTCTCCTTCCATAAGAACATCTTAAAGAAATACATGTATGCCTGAAAGCTGTGCAGCCTTTGGATGCACTAATCGGTGAAAGAAGGGAATTGCTGTTTCATTTCATGTAAGTACATGTAGGCCTAGGCCCTAAGCATGCTAACCTGAGGCCTATTTTCCTAATGTTAATGTTGTGGTTATTGTGGTTATTTACAAACCGTAACGTAAGGCTAAATTTTGCATGTTTGGCATTTGCTATCTTAGTCCGAGTAACGTAAGTTTACCTTTTTAAACACTGAGTTTCAGTTGCCTGACCCAACAACACACAATGCTTGTGGCAAAAAACTTGGTATTGATGTAGGAATTTTTATTGGGCCCTTCATGCCTTTTGATGCAGTGATTTTTATGACTTTGAAGAGATGAAAGATTTACAGGATAAAAAAATTGCCTACATGTACTTTCCGAAGCATACATGTACGTTGTCGGATTGTATGTATGTATATGTACATGTATACAGGGACCCGTAAACAGGGCCCGATGTACATATACATGTATACTCCTCCGTCATATACTGTCTATGACGGAGGAATATACGTTGGGCCTTGTTTACGCGTACTGTAGTATACGGTTACTTATAGACTGATAATGTACGTGTAGGTACTGTAAAATACCTGCAAATCATTTTTTTGAGATTTGAGGATGGTTAGCATGCTTTTGTTTAGAGACAAATTTTGGATGATTTTGAGCACGCACCAGTCATGCCAGCCTATCAAAATACTAGTGTCAAAGTGGTTATAATGACTATGTCAGAATAAACAGTATATCAGATCAAATGTCAAGATTTCATGGCCCAAATAATCAGGCTTCAGTGCAGCAGACATCGAGAAGTCCTATATGGCGCCTAAATGAACACGATAGTCATTTTTGTAAATTTCGCTAGGCCTCTTGCTGGCTCAAATATCAAGTTCAACTCACAGGTATTGACTCTAGATACACGACTGGACAGTGGTGCCGGTGAGAGATGAATATCTAATTAAATTAGAGAGTCGATTCTGGCAAGTTCAATTTGATGAACCAGTGAGAGGCATAACAAAATCTGCGAAAATGACTATCATGTTCGTGCAGGTTCCATACGTGACCTCCCCATGTCTGGAACATTGGAGAGTGATTATTCGGGGCTAAGGAATTACTAGTGCTACTGGCAAGAAATGTGTTTCAATCAATGTAAATCGGACCAAGCAGTCATGTCTTGGAATTCATTTACCAGTTTGACATGACACACAACTTCTGTAATATTCTAAAAAAGTGAAAAGCCATTTTTTTGGGTCTAATTCTTGAAATGATGACTTGTATTTTCTAACTTAGGAATTATATTTTCCGGTTCCCTCTCGCCAGGCCAGCTCAGTTGAGCAAGTGGGTGGCAGGTGTCAGCAGAGCTGATTTTTCTCCATCAAAGCATCATGTGGTGTGCAGTGAGCATTTTGAGAAAGAGGACTACGTAAGAGGTATACATTGTACATGTGTATTGACATGTATGCACAGGTAGTTGCATTCAGTCCCAGAGCATATATATTCAGCTGTTTCTAGTCTGCTGCACTGTTCGTGTGTTTCTACACTCTTTTGATATCAAAATATGGGCATTTCACTAGGTATTGCACCAAAAAGTGATTGTTACGAACTTTTCTAATTGGGAACTGTAGCGAAATCATTGACGTAACGATTTGATAATGCCCACTGCATAAAAGAGCACTGGCACCTGAATACGAGGCAAATAAATCAGTTCCTAGTGGTCAACAGTTTCCTTGTGATGCAGCATGTAGAATGCCCCATGTGCACGCCAAGTCCATATATGAAGATTCTTCTTGACAACTTGCACAAGGAATATATTCCATAAAATACATGGGGTGCTTAGAAAAATGAAAGTGAAATTCTTGGACAAAATTTTTGGAAATTTATCGTATATTGATTTGTTTTGACTCTCTGACAAGAAAGGTACTTATGAATGGGAACAAGTATGAGCTTGAATGCTTATATTGCCTTGGCCTGCAGCTCAGGCATTAGTCGTGCCCATTTTCCTTAGCCAGACTTAAACACATGTTTAAGACTACATGTAAGCACATGTTTATTCCCTTAGCAATTCGTTGCTGATATATGTTAATATACTTAAAGATTCTTAGTTCAGAAACACACGAATAAAAGTACATGTATAAGAGTTGGCAAAACCAAGTCGCCACTGATTGATCCTTTCTTAAAGTAGGGTATACACATTTCAATATTAAGCTTTAACTTTGCATTTTGCAGGTGTACACCCCAGAGATGACCGTGACATTGTTCAACATGAACTCCGGGAGTGTGTTGTACCCTCCGTTTTTCCCCAGTTTCCACAACACAAGCAAGCGAGCAAGAGGCCTCCGCCTAAAAGAGGAATGCCTGCAGTTAATCCAAGCCCACAATCTCCCAAGAAGGCTGTCACAGAAGACCACATGTATACTACATCAATAAGTGCAGTTTATGGGAAACTAAAGAAACCACTGACAAACTTCAAGAGGTCCGTATGGAACTTAAAGCAGCTAAACAAAAGGTGAAATGTCAAAGTAAAAAAAATGCAAGTCTTCTACAATGTAGAAGATATAAACAATAAGCACATGATAAACCATGGACAGTGGGAATTGTTGAAGCTCAACTTTGGAGAAAATACATTCAAACTGATTGACAATGAGCTAAAATCATCCGAAAAAGACAAACACAGGCACGTACAGGTTCTCGGAGAAACTCAAGCAATTTGCTTTAACCCGTCTTTTCTATGGTGCTCAAGCCTATGACTTTGTTAGGCAGTATTTACATGTACATCTTCCGCATCCAAGCACAATTCGTAAATGGAGTGCAAGCCTGAACTGCCAGCCAGGATTTCTGACTGAGGTCATTAATCATGTCAAGGAAATGGCAGCTGAGGATTCTTTGAAAAAGAATTGTATGCTTATGCTTGATGCCATGTCAGTGAAAAAGGCAAAAAGAATTCTCTGACAAACTTGTTCATAGGCATTTGAGTGAGATCATGCTTACAAGAATTTGCCGACTTTAAAGTATTTTAAAAATGTTTATGGGATTTTCCGACATATTTTCAAGTGCGCCGTGTTTGGAAACTCCCCCTTGAATTTGAGTCAAATTTCCAGATATGAACAGTTTAGATTTCTGACAAAATTTCATCGCACTGAAATTGATCACAAAGGCTCAGTACGTGTACCATGAATCATAACGGTGTTTAAAAATGAGTTTTGAGATTTTCAACCAAGATGTTTGGCCACGCCGTACGATGAAAGTCAAGTGAACGTGGAAGTGCACCATGTAAGAGGGCTCTACTATATTTGCTACAACTTTGCAAGGCACTTGACCAGAAAAGACTGAGAAACACAAAAATGGAAACATGTTCTTTTAGCTTCTATACAGGAGAGCATTGACCAAAAGGAAGACCCAACCCCCTTGGAACTTGTCCAGCTCTTATAAAAACTGTCCAGCAAGATTTGTTGCTTGAAATGGGCTCCTCGGTATTGCCTGATCTGTCTGAGCATTTCCTTGAGCAAGACCTCACCGTAGAAGATGATCATGGCACTCAACTTGTGAAGAGAATCAGCGGACTGTTCATCAAGACTGTTGTGTGTCACCATGGAAGGCTGTACACCGAGCGATATGTCAACAAAAATATGCCATCAAAAAGACATCAGCTCACAAGACCATCCTCTTTCTAGGCCAGTAGGGCCTAAAATTAAGTAAGGTACTGTAATTTACTTTAAAAGTAATTTTACCACAAACCTTCTTGTACTTGCAATTGCGTCATGTATACGTGAACGACAACATCCGGGTACTTGGCATACTATTTGCTCGGTTTGGCTATGGCCGCTCGCGATCCATGGGTGCACAGTAGCAAAGCGTTGCTTGTTATGGGAAGTACGCCCACCAGGTCATTATTATATCTAACTCTATGGGTGTAACCCACAGGTTAGTCATGTTTTCTTTCCCAGCTGCTGCAGTTGGAGAGGAAGGTGTAAACCGGAGACCAGTCATGTATTCCCCTATTTGATCTGTAACTTCTGCGGTGAAGGAGGAAAGTGTAATGCATGCAGAGACCAGTCATGTCTTCTGTCACTACTTCTCCATCTGTCACTGCTGCAGTGGGGGAGGGCAGCGCGAGCCCGAGACCAGTCCTGTCTTGTTTCCCCACTTCTCTGTCTGTAACTGTTGCAGTGCAGTTACAGAGGGAGGTATAAGCCAGATAGAAACCATTCATGTTTTTTTCCTTACTTCTGAATCTGTAACTGCTGCACTGGGAGAGGGAGGTGTAAGCAAAAAATCCCTCATGTCATCTGTCCGTATCTCTCCATCTGTTCCAGCTGCAATGGGACAGTCAGGTGTAAGCCGAGGACCAGTCATGTTTTCTTTCCATACTGGCCCATCTGTTACTGCTATAATGGGAGAGGCAGGTATCAACCAGAGACCATTCCTGTCTTCTTTCCCTACTGCTTCCACTGGAGAAGGAGGTGTGAGCCACATACGTGTCATGTCTTCTTTCCGTTCTTCCCCGTTTGTGAACAGCAGCAATGGTAAAGGGAGGTTTAAGTCAGAGACTATAGTCATGTCTTCTTCCCTTACTACTCTGTCTGTAACTGCTGTAGTGGGAGAGGGAGGGGTAAGTCAGAGACCAATCATGTCACCTTTCCCTCTTACTTCATATTGTTGTAAAATCGGGGGCCCGTACGTCAATGGTATAGTCTACCCATAGCTTTGCCCCTCTAAGGAAGATGTGGACCAGTCTATTCGGTCATCCCACCCCTTTCGTTGCACGTATCCTTTTATTACTAATTCTAGCGGGCACGCCTAAACCCAGTATCCCTCACCCGTTAGGTTTCTTGCATTGTTGATTTGCATAATTCCTTTGTCTGGGTTCCCTACACTGGGTGTTGGCCCAGTTAAAACCTAGCTAGGTGCTTGGAATTTTTGGGGGAATCCAGCAGTTGGGTTCGGTATGGTAACATCTTGTGGAGGGCAAGGCTCTCGCCATGCCTGGGTTTGGAGAGATTTTCATGTAAGTTGATTGGTTTTAATTGCCTCTGGTTAATTTGTTTTATTTCTTTACCAGTCACCAAGTCCTGTTTGCATTTCACAACTTGTCATGAACCGCCCTAAATCCAGCCAATAATTGTAGAAAAGGCAGTTAATAATTTTGGTGATTTTCTAAATAAAACTTGATTGTTAATGGCCGGCAAAGTCTCGTTTTAAAGTCTTGTCTCTTTTGCTGTTGCCCTCCCACGCTACAATATGTAACAGTTGCAGTGATAGAGGGAGGTGTAAGCCAGAGATAAAGCATACAGTATCTTCTTTCCCTACTTTTGAATCTAGAACTGCTGCAATTGGAGAGGGAGGTGTAAGCCAGAGACGAGTCATGTCTTCTAATCTCTCCCTGTTTCTCTCTGCTGCGGTGTAAGAGGGAGGTGTTAGCCAGAGACCAGTCTTGTCTTCTTTTGCTACTTCTCCATTTGTATAAGAAGCTGCAAGAGTAGAGAGAGGGGTAATCCAGAGAGCCCCTACTTCTTCATCTGTAACAGTTGTGGTTAGGGAGGATTTTGTAAGCTAGAGACCATTCCTGTCTTCTTTTCTAATACTTCTGAATCTGTAACTACTGCACAGGGAAGAGTAAGCAGCTCTTCTATAACTGTCACAATTCTGTTTCTCTGCTGCGGTGTGAGAGGGAGGTGTTAGCCAGAGACCAGTCTTGTCTTCTTTTGCTACTTCGCCATCTGTGCCCCTGATATCTTATCCAGGACAAGCATGACAGTGGACAACCTCATTCACTGGTTTATCCAAAGAGTTACAACTGAGTTTGGATGCCCCACTTTCAAGACAATTGTGTTCAGTCATCATGTATGACAGGAGGGATACCATCTAGGTATCATTAGAAAGAATACTGCTTCTACTTTTCGGAGATGCTTATACGTTATAATTATATCTCATGGTTTGGGCATAATAACCCCTGTCCTCAGGGTTTGGTTGTTTCTTGGATACCCTGTATAAACAGCTGCAGTAGTAGAGAGAGGTGCAACCCAGAGACTGGTTATGTTTTCTTTTCCTACTTCTTCATCTGCAAATGTTGTGGTTTGGGAGGAACTTTTAAGCCAGAGACCATTGATGGCTTCTTTTCTAATTCTTCTGAATCTGTAACTGCTGCACTGGGAGAGGAAAGAGTAAGCATCTCTTCGATAACTGCTGCAATTAGAGAGGGAGGTGTAAGGCAGAGACCAGTCTTTGACGCCTTTCTATGAGGGAGATACCTTCTTTCAGGAGATCTTTAGCTTTCTGTAGTTTCCCTGCATCCATACTTGAGATTGAGTCTTAAAACTTGTCTTTGAACTCTTCCTTGTGTGTGATTTGGTGTTTGTAACCTTCTTATGTTTGAACGCTGCTGGGGTCAGTTTGGCCCATTTTACCGTGGGATGAAGCTGGGCCGAAGATTCTTCAGAAAGCTCTCTCTTAAATTTGTCAAGCTTATTGTCCAAGATTGCAGACAACCGGCTAAGGTTAATATGGGACGGTCCGGCAGAGTTATCTCAGAATACCTCGCAGCGGAATTGGTATCCATTTGAAAACATGCGTGAAACTACGTGAATATGTGAGCTGAGGAAAAACTAGAGCGAACAGTGTGGTGTAGTGACTACTAATGACACTTTCCCACATACCAATGCCTTATGTAGCCTCACCCTGACCCTGCTTCTCTGCACACACTTTGCATATCAACCAGCTTCTCAACAGCTTGGTCCCACCCTTGCAATGAGAGAGTAATTCTCTTTCTATGTATACATACCAAGAGAATTTGTAATTATCGGCGGTTGAGAACTTTCTTCGCAGTTGCTGTGTCGAACTCTCATTTGTCGCCACCTCACTACCCAAGGACTAATGGGGAAGGGGAGTAATGGAAGAATTCTTAGACGATTCAGCTTGCTTTACGGGGGATAGAGGAGTGAATGGAGTCCATCAATACCGGTACCTTACCGGGAGTTCACCATCTGAGTTACTGTCTAACTGAAAGTTGATGATGCGTGTGATAACTCAACATAACATACCCTACCTTGGGATGATGCTGAACTTCACTGTGGCGTAGCACAGAAACAGGTCAAATCACGTAAGCACACTGACGCCACGCGATGCAATGAAGGCAAAGTGCACATGATCCAGGTACTAATCTGTGTTCGTGTGAAGCTACAAAACAAAGGGAGAAGGAAATTTTCCGCTGCACAGCGAAATATTAAAACGAAAGTACGTTCAATTATGTTTTAGAGGATGGACGGGTTTGGAATGCCTCAAAATTAAGTCTTAAGTTAGGACTAATGGGATAAAATTTAAGGTAAAATGACACACAGAATTCAACAAGCAGCAGAAACATACCTGTTGCAGTTCGATATGCAACTTTGAAACCCCCAAGTGCTAGTGTGGTCGAAAGACTTTGAAAAACAGTTTATACCATCCATGCATATTTGTAAACCAGTCATATACATGTAATTTAAGGACAAACGTCAGAGTAAACCAGTTTTTCTTTTGGGCCATTTACATATTAAATGTTATGGGCTATATATTTACTTTGTCATTCACTACAGATCTAGAGACCGTTCACTTTTTGACAAAAATATTTGGACTATGTAGATTCGAGTCTTGCAAGTTTAACACCAGAAAGTTGATAATTTAGCTAAAACATTTTCACTGTTCTAAGATCTTTCTTTAAGAGCAGGTTACAAATTGTGTCTTCTTGTTGCAAAGCGCCCTCAGCTGGTAAAGAGAGGTTATGTTGTTTATGTGAAGTGAGAGGGGTTCAGGGCTGAGCAAAAGTGTCTCTGTTTCTTATCCTGTTCGTTTCGGAGAAATACACACCACGCCTCTGTACCAGTTTCGACGTTTTCATCGTGGATTTTGATGGCATTTAACATTTTTTATTGTATGTCAAGCTTCAATTAGGGTCCATCCCCCGTAGATAGCCCAAATTGTGTCTGGCAAGCTCATTAATAAGAGTTATTTCCTCAAAATTACCTTCATTAGAGAGACCTGGGAGCCATGGAATTGGAGAATTGAAATGTGACCCTGATCCTCTGGCTTGGACTTAAGGCTTCCAATTTCGGGTGTAAAATAATTATGGCTGTTATTTTATTTTCATTGGCTTTGAGCATTATGTGAAGATGGTAACTGATTCTGATATGAGTTATTGTCAAGTACTTATTTTTCTGTCTTGGTGTAAAATTATGCAGTGGGTTAATTATTTTATCATAAAATGAGTTTATGACCTAAAGTGTGTGTCTCTGGATCTCAATAACACCCAGTTTTTATTTTCATTTTTAAGTTTACTGCTGAAAAATGCAGCTGTAACCCTTATTTTCTGATACAGGCCATGCTTTGACTCGTCCAAATTACTCTAACCCCTCGTCGGATTTATTGACGTATATTAGCAGGGTATTGTACAGTATTGTACAGTAATAAGTTTTGTCCTCAACTCCAATTTATTTTAACAAAGCCGAAGTCGGTCCACGACATTGCTCATTGTTAAATACGATGTAAAAATAAAAACGAGGGGATTGTATTCATGTCCGGGGTTAAGTGTCTTACATTTCACAAAAAGAGTGGCTTTTCCGCACTATATGCAATAGTCGCCAAAATCAGAACAAAAGGAACGCCTTTTCGGCAGTCTGTCCAAAAGCAAACTAGAGGTTGTGGAATTGTCTGGCTTTACAACGTTTTAAAAGTTTGGGAGTTCTTTATTAAGATACTTATACTGGTTATCAAGAACACCCTCCTAAAACGTGTACAAAGATGACAATTTACTGAAATTTCTCTATAAAATCTCTTGTTGACAAATGCCAATTACATGTATTTGACAGAGTAGTTTTTCAAGGCAGTTGTGTTCGATTCAATGTTGAAATCAACCTTTTACAAGAACCTATATAAATTTAGCACTTGGTAAAATAATCGTAACACCGTTTTGTTATGTTAGCCAATGAGCAAGGTGGGCTCACATACCTGTTTTTATGGCAATTAGAGCTCGCCAGGATGTGTATTAAAAGAAATTTGATGGCGTGATCTTGACGTCCGAAAAGTATGCAAACACTAAAAATATCTACTTAAATCTCCAGAAGTCATGCAGTTGTTTTTTTTTTCTCGAAAATAACCCCTTTTCAGTTTATATATCAATAGAATGAGAAACTAAAAGCATTCACTACAAAACAGCTGATATATGTGTTTACCTCTTTTGGATGCAAGACTGTTTTCTTTTTCTTCAAGGTCTGCGACGTATGCAACCTTGGTCAGCTTAGTCTACTGGGTCACTGTATGTTGGAAGCTTGATTGACCAGTGGGCGTGGCAGAAGAATTGCCTTCCTCGGAAAAAATGATAGACGCATTAGGGGAAAAGGAACGAAGAGACAAGAGGAAGGACAATAAACTTCCTTGCAAGTGCCGTGGACGCGACTCCCTCCCCTTTGGATGCCTGGTAAGGTTTTTGTCAATGGAAGTCTCAGTTGAATCACTCGAAACGTACCAAGATTGCTGCTGCCAACAATCATCTTATTTACTCTGATTAGCACATCTTTGTTGTTGCCCATGTATAGTTAGCAGGACGTGCATGATTGCATTTGTATGTTCACGTATGTTCACTCCCTTAGACATTAAATGAGGATGTTGCATAAAATGAGTTAATATCCCTCAGGGCTGAACACTAAACGCCAGCACAGCTTTTGTGATGGAAAGGAGATGTCTGATATACCCATTTTGTTATTCAGTCATCTATTGCAGCACTAGCCTTTTTTTGAGCGGTGAAATTCATTGATTTCCTCTGTTCCTGTAAACACAGAATCATGATATTCTTGCATCCGGAGTTCTACCAAGAATTTGAAACATATAAAGGTGAAGCCAGCACTGAACTAAAAGGCTGATCCAAGAACTAAAATTTGTTTCACGCATTCTCCTACAGCAAGTCATTACTTAACCGAAAGTCGAGTTGATATTCCAGTAGTGTAGAATTCAGGGTTAAATGTTATCGATACAAAATACTTTATGATATATCAGTGATTAGTGCTGGTGTCTGTGGACATTAAATGGCGATGTTGCTTAAAACGACTTAATATCACTTTTACATAAATGTAACACTTTTCGCTTTATCGTGGACACCATGACTATGTCCTTTGTGGATAATACACGTATGTAGGGCATATCTCCAGGAAACTCCTGTAAGAAATATTTTCAACGGTGTGTGTTGCAGGCTATGCCTGCTATGTTGGCAACACACCGTGCGGCGTCCATGTGAGACTACAAAATCCACTAGTATCGAACACTGGCTGTGGCTCTTCATTGTTTGATCAAAAGTCCAAGACGTACATGTAGTCGTAAGAGACGCAACCAGAACGCGACTGGCTCGTCAACCGCGACCTAATACAACCCCATGTATTAACTCAGTGGTGCACCGGCAGAGGTGCTGGTTAGTAAGGATAGAATCGTTTGAGTGTGGAGGGAGATTTCGCTACATAAAAGCAAAACGGCATTGAGTGCACGTTTGGCCGTTTTTGCAACCTGTGTGTCCTTTGGTCACCGGTACACAAGATTGCCGCTTAGTGAGGTTATTGGATGTGGCTCGGAAAAGTATGCGTGACAACAGCGATCCACAGGCTTTTTTATTCCCCATCCCTTAATTGTTGGAATAAGCCCTTTTCACGTTTCATGTGTGCAAGCTCAGAAGACCTAACAGGGAAACAATTCATGACCAAAACGTTGCGTAACGTTTAGCGAATGGATGCTCGTGATTGTTGTTGTTGTAGACAGTTTGTTCCTTCTGGCTTTGTTCACTTACTCGCACGGGGGCGCTAAAATCAACTTGGCGACGGAATGGGAAACTGGCTTATTATTGATTTAAAATCATGTTTTTGCTCAGTAGTGGTTGTGGTGGAAGTAAATGCTCATGCTGAGGATCCATTATCATTAAGTAGTTAACCGCTAGAGGTTAACCTCTGGTATTTGCAGTTAATACATTTTGTAGTATCAATGGTATTTTTAAGTGCGATCATGCAGACCGCTTATGCGCCTTCTTAAAGATCACTCACACTGCTTTTATGCAAAACTAAACAGGGAATTGGTCATTATTGTTACTGGATGAGGGCGCTGCACTGTAGCGACTGGCTGCACACAGTTTTTCTGCTCTATGATTGTGTCTTCAAACATCGTTAAAATTTCGCTTTTTTCGAGTCTCATGTTCGTGTTGTACTATAGACTCAATCATCATGCTATGTAGACAAATGTCGTTTTCCAGTCTCTGGGTAATTACGGTCTGCTCGGTTTACAATCGCAAAATTCAATGTGAAATCATACCTCAGCATACTACATGTATTAAATACGGATGTCAGTCCCTGCTTAACATGGCGGAGGGCCCATTGTTGCTTCTAGTCCCTGCTTAACATGGCGGAGGGCCCATTGTTGCTTCTTCGCCTCCCCCCCCCCCATCTCCCCATGTGGGTGCCGAAGAGATACCGGGGGATAAGGGCAGTTCACATTGCCGAGGCATAGAGCTACAAACCCATGGCCGAGGTAAGCGTGGGCTTACCTCGGCCATGAGGTACCGTCGGCCACTATCGACCATAACCCTTAGTAACGTACGATCACTAAGCAATAACATAAACTAAGAGCGAAATGAGGACCGGAATTCCAGTCTGCTGTGTATTACAGTTGGCTTCAACCAGCCATTCACTCAAATAACTTGGAAATCAATGGTTTTCACTTCATGAGACTAGATCGTTTTCTGGATGAAACAAATAAAAAGAAAGTATAGATGAACTGTGCCTCTATATATAAACAGAAAGTGGTGCAACAATTTGGCATTCAAGCACATTGAATGTTTGTTCCAAGGATATTGAACTTATGTTTGCCTCATTCGCCCATTCTACTTGCCCAGAGAATTTTCCCAGGTGCACGTTGTTCTAGTATATGTCCTGGGAGACTCCGATAAAGATATTGCGAACCGGATCATCCGGGATCAAGAGAATGAACTGGGAGCGTGATCGCCAGATACCCTCATAATCATACTTGGGGATTTCAACAAGTGTGACTTGGACAGTGTTCTACCTCATTTCTATCAGTACATTGATTCCATCACGAGAGGAAATAACATTTTAGACAAGTTATATTGTTCAGTGGAAGATGCATGTAAGCCCCTCATCAGACCTGCACTTGGTGAATCTGACTGTTTCACCATTCACGTCCTCCCTAACTAACTTTCGTCAACTTTCCCTCTGCGTTCTATATAATTGAGCCCTATAGACTTCTTCAGAAACTTCGCGACTTGGGCTGCCCTGCCATCCATTGTGTTATGAATTCACGACTTTCTCCACCAACGGACACAGAAGGTGAAAGTCAACACCATTTCCAATGAAATCACTACTAGCACCGGAAGTTTACAAGGCTGCAGTTGTGTTCTGTCTGCAACTCATTTTGTACTGTACACTAATGATTACATCTGCAGTGTCCCGTCTGTACACTTACTCAGGTGACACTCATCGTTAGGTTGGTTGAAAATGAAGATGAACATGACTACAGAATGATTATCAATTCATTTGAGTCCTGGTTTAATGAAAACTACCTACTCTTGAATGCAAAGAAAACCAAGGAAATAGTCTTTGATTTCAGACAAAGGAAAAATTTTGATTCTATTGCCAGGTCTGTGTACGTTGCTAAAGATCATATTGAAAATATGGATCACTAAAGGTACCTAGGGACTAGGGTCGTTTGATTTAAATCAGTCGATTTAAATCATTGATTTAAATCATGATTTAAATCAATGGAAAAAAATATAAAAAATCACCAATACAAATCACTATTTTATTTCTTGATTTTTTTCAAAGAAAAAAGAACAGTTAGTTACTGAAGGAACTTCAAAGAAAGCACTCATTAAGTTCAAATTGATCATTTTATGTGCAATACACATTAGGGGCCGACATATTCTGAAGCAGTTTACATATTTACATGTACTTCTTGTAGCCTATGTTAAATTTCAAGACACGTTCCTATATTATGTATACCTGCACAGAATTAATCTCTTGCCTTTGTACCATTAATTTTTTTTGCACATAAACAACTGTCATTAGCTGTTATATAACATTCTACACGTATGCAAATGCCCCCCCGCTTTACAGACCATAGATAAAACCATTTTGTCTATGGTCAGAATACCCACATCAGCGATAGCAAAGAAACAGTTCACATGTCATGTGATCTACATGTATGTCTGTGGATGTAAATAAAGTATACATCTAGTGAGTGTTGTACATGTGAATGGTACCAATAGTTGGGGAATTCGGGGTGTTTCAAGCAAATGGTCACGATGGTTAGGCCCAACTGTTATTTGGCTTATTAAAATTCTATTAAAAAAAATCTAATTTAAATTAAAAAATGTGATTTAAATTTTTAAAATCCGATTTTTTTAATTTTTTCAAAAAAATCATGATTTTTATCAACCCTGCTAGGGACAGATATAGACAATAAATTGTCATGGAAACAAAAAGTGAGATCCACGTCTACAAAATACAACAAAAAGATGTACTACCTTAGAAAAATGAAACATCATTTAAATGAAAGAATCGTGTATCTGTTCTATTCATCAATCATGAAAACCTTGCGTAGATCAGACTTGATACACTCGGGATCCAGTTTTTCCTAATTACGTAATTAAAGAAAATTTTTCGGCCAAATGCAAAAAACCCCTGTTAATTTGTACCTCTGTAGATGCTGAACAGCCTAGTTTAGTCACCTTTAACATAGGGACTTCCCCTGAGCTTCTTAATTCTTTTCCAGAGCCTGCCTCCAGCCAAGTCCCATGGGGATTGTATGTAAATATCTAAACCACGTGCTGATAAGGGATTATTGACAAAGAAAGTGCCTGGGCAAGCCTTGGAAAGCCTGGGCCTGTCTTATATCAATGGTCGGTCTCTCTTATGTGTCTCTAAGCTGTAGACAGCTGTCTGAGTAGTTTCATTGTGTTGGGGGTGTCAGAGTTTTGTGGTTATAACGGAAGTGATCTCAAAACGATCACCTTGGTGCAGTGGGTGTAAAAGGTAGGCTCTGTGCAGTGAATTCAATTGATACACGTATGACGGTGTCCGAACATTAAGAATAAAAAATCGGCCCTGTGCAGCGGAGGGTTCTAAAAAAAAGGACTATTATTTTTGATTGTGTGATGCTGTATAACAACGCTAGAGAGCAAGATCAGCAAAAGCTTAGACGGGTTGTAAACCAAGCTAGTAATATTATTAACTGCAATAATGATCTAGATGAATTAGTACAGACCGAATCACAACTCTGAATCACAACAACATGTATTTTAAACTTACGGAGAAGCGGAAGACGTTGGAAATCAATTAAACCTAGGACATCTCGATTTGCAAACTCCTCCGTAGCAATTTGCCATTAGACAAATGAATGAGAACTGATTCAAGATCTTTCGATTCTACA